GAAAGCTAAAGTAGAACTATTATAAAGCTTAAATAAAGAAGAAGTTAGCTATATAGTAGCTTACTTTTACTATACTCTTAGCCTTAGCTTAGAGTAGTATATACTTTAGCAGAAGAGCTCTTTATATAGTAGTAGTCTAGAGTGTTATTGCCTATAGTATAGATATATTTTATATACCTACTTAAGTCTAAAGTAAGCCTAGAGAGGTTGCTAAATAACTTATAGTAGAGTAATTATAGTGCCTCTAAGCTATTACTAAAGTATATAAAGCTATATTAATTTTATACTTAAAGGTAGAAGTAGCAGTCTTTCTACTAGACTTCTATCTTAAATACTTCAAGTATAAATTTAAAGATTAATTAAAGAAGATAAGTATAATAAGTTAAATCTAGACTACTTATAGTATAGTAGTAAGAGTTCTTAAGAAAAAGAAGAAGCTCTAATAAAAACTAAATAAAAAAGACTAGTAGTAAATATAGGCCTAGAGCTTAGCTAGAGCTACTAAGGCTATAATGCAGTAAGAATAGTAATAGAGATAGAATAACTAGCACTAAAATATAAAGCTAGCCTGCTAGTAGTATAGCTAGAAGGTAATAGAGAATATACCTCTACTAGGCATACTAAAATAAATAACCTAGCTATATAAAGGCCTATATAAGTATAAGACTACTATATTAATCTAGCTATAAATAGGCAAGATAGAACTAAATAAGTTTCTCTACTATAAGTAGATACTTAGTATAGAGTTGCCTTTATATTAGTATAGAACTAAGGAGAAAAATATATACTATATTATTTTATTATGCCTACTCTATATAAACATAAAACTACTAAATTAGCTGCAGAATAATAAGGAGGTTAAATAGGCTCTAGCCTGCTCTAAGCTAGTAGTAAGGCTAACTTAGTAGTTTATTAATATAAGCTAAATAACTTATTACTAACTAGCAGTAAAATTAGCTAAAGAGTAGAAAGTAAGACTGCTTAACTAGATGCTAAAGGTAGAGTTATAGTAATACTAGTAGAATACTAGCCTGCTGTTATAATAATAGAGAAACTAAAAGTTATTAAGTTTATTACTATAGAAAAACAGAAAAATACTAGGCTTATAGCATAGCAACTAGTAATACTACTAGAGGCAGCTTAATCTTAGGCTGCTCTCTGCCTTCTTACTTATATTTCCCCCTCTAACTTTAAGTAGAATTACAGCCCCTCTAGGCATACTTTCTTAAGCTAGACCTATTTATATTACTCTCTTGCTCTAGTATAAAAGTATAAGCGCTTATAGTCTAAAGCGCAACCTTTATAATTAATAAGTAGCCTTTATACTTATTTAGAATCTAGACAGCCTTTACTCTAGACTTAGCTATAGTAGCTACTAATACTATAATCTCCTCTAGCTGCTCTAGAATCTCCTTATAGTAGTCTGCACTATTATTTAAACCTCTAGCTAATACTAAGCTAAACTAAGCCTACCTCTTTCTCTTTTAATTATTAGCCTTCTTTAAGGCCTTAAGATTCTTAAAAAATTAAGAAGTAAACTAAGGCAGCTAGTTAGCAATATTAAGCTAGAGATAAAGTAGACTACTTACTAAGATATAGAAAAGCAGCTTTTTAGCTATATTCTCTAGCTTCTTCTAGAGGCATAGAAAAATAAAATATATCTTTAATATTATATTATACTATAGCCTAGTTAAAGCTAGAGAAGAAGTAGAGATAGAATAACTTATAGAAATATAATAATTATTATAGATATAATAGTTAAAGCATAATATAGTCTTTAACTTAATAATCTTTTAGTATAAATAAGCTTAGAGCCTATCTAGCCTTAAGCTAGTAGTAGTAGCAGTAGTAGAGATTTAAGTAATATATAAAATATATATAACTTTATAGATAGAACTAAGCTAAAAATAAAGTTAGAGCTAGAATAAAGGTAGAGAAGAAGATATATACTAACTTACTAGTAACTTTTTAGAACTAAGACTTAGTTATTATTTTGCCTTTAAAGGCACTAAAAGTCTTTATAGAAGTTAGCTATTAAGCAGAGAACAAGCTAGCGCTAGCTTAAACTTACTATAACTTTTTCTATATTAGTAAATTAAAAAGTAGATATAATAATAGCTACTAATAATAATTAGTAATACTCTAGAGTTAGGCTTAATATAGAGTAGATATAAAGTATATATATATAGATAATAAGTTTTAAATTAGTTTAAAGGCAATAAAGACAGCAGTAAAGGCAATGAGAATAGTTCTAGTAAGAAGTTAGCTAGAATCTATATAGAGACAGACTAGCTTAAGCTTAGCTAGAT